GTCTCGCCAGCTTCCGTCTCCCCTCTCCGCCTCTTGGCTCAGACCTCCGCAGCCACGCTGGGGGTGGCCGGTGGTGGTTGTCAGCTGTGGAGTTGGTTGTGTGTGAGGGAGCTGGTTTCCCCTGTGCCCTGCGGCCTGACTCGGCGTGGAGTGCTGCTGTCTGGGCTGTTGAGCTGGGGTCTAGCCAGGCTGTGCCTCGTCTGCGAATCCCTGGGGTTGATTCTCCTGGGCCACGACTGCCCTCCCTGTGTTCCCTGCTTTCCTTTCCCAGGGTCATTGAGGTCATCACCTAGCCACATGTTCTTTCCTCCCTACTCTTTCTCCCATCCCGCCTTATTTTCCCCAGAGCATGCTGCTTTCTGCATCCCGGCATTTGGGGCCTGCTTGGACAGACATAACACGTTTTGACATCTTATGTTTTCTTCTAAAAATTCTTTTATTTAGCATTTTCTTCCTTATACTTACGTGGGGTTAAAGTAGACTCCCAGAAGAACAGCCACGTTTCGGTTGTGGTGGCTGGTATTGCTTGGCACGTTGCCGTGTACTCGTTGGGGGTAACGTGGCCCCAGCCGAGGGGCAGGGAGAAACTGTGCTGGCTGGTAAGGCAGGCGGAGGCCAGGCACGTTCCTCTCTCTTAGCTCCATCACTTTTATGAACCGTGCTGCATAATTCATACTTCATTATGTGCATTCTTGAGGTATGTAGCAGGCAGAACAGCCAAGCCAGGAGGATCCCTCCTGCAGTGAGTCCTTTCCTCAGCGTGCTGTGTGACCGCCAAGGTTCGTCCATGTTCTAGGTCCAGTTACCCCAGGGCTGCCCTCTGCCCTGCTGTTGGCTCTCCAGCCAAGGTTTCCCTTTTCACGTGTCCTTGGTCTCTGCACCTAGCAGTCACTCTGCCAGTATGTTTTGTTCTCATGCGTTCCTCGTCTCCCATTTCTTCCTGTCTCTAAAGAGGGGACACTCGCATCTTACTCTCTCCACCCTTAGGGGTCACTGGGCCAGACCTAGCAGATGGGAGAGACGTACCCCTCTTGGATGGTGATATGGCACCAGCAGGGCTGGTTAGCCAAGGGCCAGGAGAGGTGGAGGGCCTTGCCTCTGGTTCTCAGGGAGCTTTCTGCCCTGCTGTCGGAGACTGCTCATGGTTTGTGTGGGTACAGCGATGCCAGCTGGCTAAGTGAGGATCTGGGAGGGAGGCTGGGACAGAGATGATGGAGGTTGAGGTCTTTCTCAGCCTCTCCCTTCCGTCCTGGCTTCTGGCTCCTAGTTCAGGCTATCAGGGTGTAGGTGACTGGTCTTGATGCTTTCATAATATTTGACCAAGTAGAGGAATTTAAATCACCATTCAGTTCATGTGGATGGCTGATTTTGAAGCTTGGGAAACCAAGGTTCCTGCCAGAGGTCACAGGCTGGCTGGTGGCAGAGCCAATTAGAAGCCGGCAGTCATTCCAGCTGGCAGCTGGGCCTTCCTCCAGGGAGGGCTGGCTACTTAGACTGCGACTTGTGAAGGTCACACCTCCCCTTCTGAGCCTCCAGCATCTTGTTTCTTTTCCTCCCTGCTCTCACCTCCCCACCTTTAATACCTGGGTCTGACTTCAGAAGTGAGTCTCTTGTCTTTGGGTGATCATTACTGTGCAGGGAACTCTGGTGCGCACTACCATCACCTGCGGCAGCCATCCCTCACTGCCAGCCTCCACCCCCCACCCCTCCACAGTGTGTGTCTGTCTGGGCCAGGGCTGGGGTGCGGAGTGTGTGCAGCTCTCTGTAATCTTCTCCTCTGCATCCTGGCCAGTGGAGAGCGGGGTCAGTGTAGGGCAGGATAGGATGCATCGGCCCTGCCTTGGCGCTTTGCCCCTGCAGCAGTGATGAGTGAGCAGAGGGAGGCAGGCTCCAGCTTTCTAGTAGACGGCCGATCCTGCCAGACAGCCAGGAGAAGGGCAAGGGAGGATCTTTGCACAGCCAGGCTTACCATACATGATCCATGGGGTTCTTCCTCCTGTTCCATACCAGCAAAGCATCTGATTTCCCTGACTTTGTCTCCTTTCCCCCATGAAACCTTAGTCACCGACTAGGGAACGAGGTAGAAAAGGAGGTAGCCAGTAGATCAGAGATCAGTTAATTGTGTTTCACCTATCAGTGGAGATCCTTTTGAGTTCCTGGGCTTTGGTAATTTTTCTCCCCTCTTGAATTCCTAGGACTTCTCTTGTCTGTGCTGCACAATTTGTGTGTGTGTGTGAGTGCTTGTGTGCATGCTCAGCTGCACATGCGCACTCTTACACACTGAGACACAGAACCATAGGAATGAGGGGAGCTAATCTGGGCTTGCCGTCAGCACTATCACTTGGCAGGGTTCCTGGAGCTCAATAGACAGAGCCCAGAAAGCTGGAAGTGCAGAGCCCATCCCAGCAGTAAGCAGACAGCGTCATTCATTCATGCAGTCATTCATTCACCAGCCAGACTAGACAGGGCCTGCTCTGTGCCCGCTGCTGCTGGAACCCTGGGGAAGTAGCTGTGAGCCACACAGGCCTGGCCTGCATGGAGCAGATGCTGCTGAGGGAGATGACCGTGGACACGTGGGCCAGACATGGCGAGAAGGATAGCAGAGAAGGGGCTCTCATCTCCCACGCTTCCTCAGGGCGAGTGTCTAGGGGCAGGAGAGTGCAGCACCTTCCTGGGAAGGAAAGGGGTTGCTTAGATTCTGGTATAGAACGTCCTGTGGCAGTCAGAGCTGTGACCTGCTTAACTGAAGTGGGGACTGCCGATGGCTGGGGGCTAGCCTCAGAGGCAGGGGGCTCCATACCGAGGCACAGATGGGAACGCCCCTGTCCCCGCCCCGACTCCTCAGCCTCGAGGTTTGGCACCTTGCCTCTCTAGCCTGGGCTGCCGTACTGGGGAACTCACCAGACTTTTCTGTAGATGGGGTTCTGTCGGAGAAGGCAGGGGTTGGGGCTGGAACTACAGAGTCCTGTCGCTCCCTCTTTTGCTTTGTGACTGTCCCAGGAGAAGCTGCCAGCCAGGCATGGTGGAAGAGCCTGCGTGCTCTGGCCTCCTCCCCTCCGGCTGCCTGCAGAGTCTGAGCAGCCCTGCAGGCACAGTGGCCTGAGCAGGCCCCCCTGGTGGCCCTGCTGAAGGCCGGGCTGGGGCTGGGGAGGCCCGGGGGCACCAGAGATTCGGTCCGTACCCTCATCGTTACTTGTTACTACAGTTGGGCAGACGCTAGGTGGTCAGAGAAACAGGTGAGCACAGTGGAATAGAGCTGGACAGGAGAAGGCCAAGCGAGCAGTTGTAAGCCTCCTGAGTGGCACCCTCTCTCCTGGGCTCCCCTGCTCCATCCCACCCCAGGTTCAGGGGTTTCCCTCCCTATTTAGTCCCACTGGTACTAGCCGCCACAGGGAAGGGATCCTTGGACACAGTTGTTCTCCAGCAAGCCTGGCGCCTGTCGTGCGGCTGCGCCACAGAGCCCCGCGGGACAGGCAAACCCACACTGCAGCCGCAGCCATCAGTGGGGGTGGGCATGGCGCCCCCATGGAGCTCGAGGGCCAGAACGATCCCAGCAGCCAGATGCTGTGGGCTGCCTCTACAGTGCCTTCTGTTGTGCTCTCGGCCTTTCTGGGTTTCCTCTCCACCCCAGCTCATCCCTTCTCCCCGGGCTCTCCCTATCATAAAACGCCCTGGAGGTGTCCAGGGAGCAGCCATTGCACTGCCGCCAGCCCTTCCTTTCTGAATCCATTGTGCGCCTCTTGCGCCCCTACTGTGTGCCAGGCCCGGGCGGGTAGCTGGTAGCACAGGGGGGACTAAGTAGGGAGGGAGAACCCTGGGCCTGACGTGGGGTGTGCCTGGCGCGCCCCCCCACCCCCACAGACCCTCCTGCACCTCTAAGATTCTGACCTGCTTTGAATTGTGAATTGCATATTTACACTTAAAATGATTTTTTTGTTTGTCCACTTAATGAGTGTTGCTCTTAGCATTGAGCTGAATAGTTTAATTAGCCCATCTGTTCTGCGGCTGGTGCACAGCTGTATGAAGCTGATGGCTGTGGAAGGTGGTGCAGTATGTAAACAGGTGGGGAATGAGGGACTTCCCTCAGGTGGCTGTCCTAGCTGGCAGAACAGCTTTTCGTGAGCTGTAGTCAACAGGGGCTGTTGGGCGAGGGTGAGCGATCCAGACCTGAGGAGTGGCTCTCGAAGTAACCAGCAGGGCCCTAGGCAGGTGAGGTGTGTGCTACCTTTGCTGTGTGTTTGGGCAGATAGTGACCGAGTTCCCTGAGGCAGCTACTGTGGGGCACGGGCAAGCAAACTTCACGGAGGTGGGGGACAAGCAAGATTGTGTGTGACATGCATCAGAATCACCTGGAAGGCTCCTTAACACACAGTGCTCAAGCACGTTGCTTTTGATTTAGCAGCTCTAAGTGGACAGAGGAACGTTTTGGTTCCCGGATGCTGCTGCTGCTGCTGGTCCAGCGCCTGTACCGGAGTTCCTTTGGTGCGCCAGGAAGGAACCACAATCACAGGAGCTCGGGCATGAGCACTGTGTGAACAGTGGGTGGCACCCAGCAGATGTTTCCAGTAGGAGAATTTTGAGGCTAATAATGCAGAGGCTGAGGGCGGTGCCCCCTTCCCTGAAGTGCTCCTCTTTCACCTTTTTGCTTGGTCAGGAACTGGTCAGGTTTCATAACTTCTTAAGCACTGTGGGACTTCTCCTTTTTATCCCAACCCAGCTGGTTTAATAGCAGATGGCATGCAGCATACATTCGAGCTCCAAAAACAACACTTGCTGGGTCTCAGGATGAGATGCTGAAGTAGTGATCTGGGGAAGGCCAGGGGGAGTCAATATTTTTTGAAGCTTCCCCAGGTGATTCTAAGGAACAACCACTGATCCATACTCATTGTTCACTTTGCACCTTAGCACGGACTGTCCACCCCCTCTGGGGACTCATGTCCAAACCTCTCTGTGCGGCCCCTTGCAGGTAGCGGGGCAGCACTTGTCTGCTGGGCCCCTTCTTTCTTGACCAGTTGTATCTCTTGGCTACTCCCTGCTCCAGCGCTGTGAGAGCCCATCAGTGAGGTCCCACTTGCTGCTGAGAAGGCCAAGTTACCTGGCTTATTGTGAGGCCACCAGAATATTTTACTCTGTCAACATCTATGTGAGGACTTTAGGTGACAAATGGTTCCCGACATTTGTGTCTTTCAGTGACGCAGAGAGTAGAAAATTGTGCAAGAAGATGAAAGTTGACCTGAGCCCAAAGGACAAAAAGGTCGAATTATTCCATTACCAGTAAGTACACGTGGGCATTTCCAATTTCCAAGTCAGTGCTGAAGCTTCATTGGTATTCTCGGTGAATAGCGGTTTTTAGTTCGATTAATTTTATTTCAGAATGATTTTCTTTTCTGTTTTTACAATTATTTCTTTACCAAAAAATCCTGAACTGTGTTCAGTAGTTACATCTTATTAAGATGCTGCAGGAAACCAAAGGTATATAATTTCACAACCATTCTTACAGTTAACACTTCTTTCTCCTCATTTGACAGGGATGGTGCATTTCATACTGAATATAACCGAGCTGTGACATTTAAGGTAAATTTACCTCCCTCATTCTCAGCAGAAGTAGAGTCTGAATGGACGCCAAAAGTCTGGCAGGTTCTCTCTGAGATTGCACAAATAGCTCTTCCAAATGACCTGAGGGATTCTTATCTCTAGAGCATATGTCAGCAGAATATCTAGAAAAGTTTGTGACTGTTAATACCATGAGGATGTCCAGCCCAGGCGATAAATTTATCAGCAGTGGTCCAGTGAGGCACGTGACGTCACGCCTGTCGCCTCCGCAAGCCTGAGTCTCCCTTTGCTGTGCCTTCCCCCCCCCCCATCTTCCGGTAGCCCACTGTGGCTGATGTCACTGAGACAGTCCCCACTATAATCTGACTTAGATGGAGATGCAGAGCATCAGTGCAGGTAACTGGCAATCTTGTGACTTTGTTCTCACAAAGCAGCTGCCCCAGCCTTGAGTTCTCCCACTGCCTTTGGGTTCTCCTCCTCCAGCGCACACTTTCTCTTCTTCAAATCAGTCTGCTCCTACCTCTCTCCAGGTGGCATTCCCCTGCCTTTCTGGGGCCCTCTGTTGCTCCTAGTGCCAACACGTGCCAAACTCACTCTCTCTGACTCTCCCGCTTCTCACGCTGGGTTGGAACCTGTGCTCCTCTCCCTGTCTCTTTTTCTTCATCTGTGTCTCTATTCTTCCCTGACTTGCCGTCTGTCTATGCAGCCATCAGTGCGCCACACCTCCTGTGTGGCTCCCCCATTTCCTCGGTCATTTCTTGTTTATCTGCTAACACCGACTCTCTTTTAAGTTGCTTCAGCTTTTGCTTTATATATACTTAGCCTGATTACTCATCATCATCACACCCACTTAGACACCTAGAAAAAATCTAACTAAAGTTGTTTAACCCCACTTTTGTTGTATCAAGACATCAACTTAAATCCTTGGGAAGAATACATGCTCCCCTATGAACAAGAGTGAGCAGGGTGGGGTAAGGGAAGTACTAACGTGGTGTTGGTAAGAGGGTGGTGGTTCTTTGTTTTGTTTCAGAGACTATGTTGAGATTATATTTAACAGGGCCAGGCCTTCAGAAGAGTTAGTCATGAGATCATAGAGCAGATTGCAGCTGCTCAGAACTGTAGTTGCAAGAAAGGAGCAAGGATCCCAGATGATGTGAGCTGGCCTGGGTCAGAAAGGCCAAGTCCTGGCCCTTTTCCCCTCTTTACAAAGCCTGGATGTATGGAATCTGCTTGCTCACATCTTTCTGTGATTTCTGCATCAACAAGCTGGAGAAATGGGCTGTATATTGTACAAGATCAGAGTCTTTCGCAGAGACAGGCGTTCTGGGTCCCCAAAGCCCACAAGGCTATCAAGAACAAAGTAGAGTCCCCATGACTGCAGGATAGCTCTGCTTCCAACAGGAGCAGCTGAGCCCAGCACTCCCTTGTCACGGAGGGGTTTTCCTTTCAAGGTTTCCCCTGAGCAACTTTGTCCAGGTAAATGGAGGAGCCGAGGGCGGGAGCAGGACGGGAACAGGGTCTGCAGGCCCAGGCGCTGGCTGTTGATGTTCTTGTCCTGTTCTGACAGTACTGTGGTCCTTAACTGATTCCAGGGGCCAGATTAAGTGTGGATAAGAAACTCAAAGAGCTTTCTGTGTTGTAAGTGGCCTTTTGCTTGTCAGCAGTCTGTCCAGTAACATCCTTGGCATGTCTAAGTGCTAAGGCCTCTGGTATCTGGGAGCTGAAATTCATGTGGCCCTCTGATGACCTTCCCCATGCCCTGTGGCCATGCGTGTGCTTTCCCTGCCAGGACGATGAACTGAGTACTAAGGTGTGGTGTTGGCCATTTCCCTGGGATTCAGGTCTCTAGAATGGGCTGGCTGAGGGTGGGTCCTGGGTGCTGCTCGTGGAGCAGGATGGGTGGAGACTTTTCCACCCAACATCTTGTTAGTTATCAATTTGAGTTAAGCAAGAATAATCTCCTCCTACAAAGCAAAAAGATTACTAGTATGAATGTTTCAATTGCTACATAAAAAGAAGTAATTTATTTTCTTTTTCTATGAACATTCATCTTTTTTTTTTTTTTTTCCCTTGACACGAAGCAGGGCCTAGAGTGGTAGGGAATGGGGAGGCTGTGAACCTTTTAACTTATCTCATGCTGGTGTGGGCACATGGTCCCCAAAGAGCATAGTTCCTAATTTATTTGGGGTTCCTGGTGATAATTCGTTCACTCTGGGCTACCCTGTAACAGTTTCATGGAGAATTGCCTGAAAACCATGAAATTTCTTCCTTCTAGAAACAATGGTTGAGCGTGAAAACACTAAGTGTTTTCTTGTCTGAGGTTTAACAGACCCCTGAAATCTTCTGTCTTCCCTAGACTGAGATCACGTCACCAGGTCTCTGTAGCAGGCAGACGGACACCTGTGAGCCTCTTACTCACATGGCCCCGCTTGGCAGGTGCCTCTGCAGCTGTAGGTGGGGCCCTGCCAGTTCCATTTTGGCTTATATTGTCACAGCGAGGCTTTGAAAAGGGGCTGAGAAAAGGTGGATCTGCCTTTGCTGTATGGAATCAGCCCTTCTCTTGCCAGGAGGCATTTTGCAGCTCCATTTGGACTTACAGGGAGCACTATCTGAATGAAATCCTACCAAATCTTGGCTCGTTCCCACTCTCCCATGCTTATTCCAAATGGGAGTCTCCAGAAACAACCTCACCGAAGTCCTCAGCATGTGACCAGTGATTGGGGTGCACAGCCCCGCCCAGAGGTTGTTTTCCTTTCTCACCTCAGGCCCCCACTCCCTAACACACATAGACACACGCAGCTCTTCTGCTCACTAGCGCTTGGTCAGTGTGGCAAGAAGTAACAGATTCTGTCTTCATCAAACTGGGAGACACTGAAGCCTGTGCTGACATGGAGGCCAGCCGAGGTTGGGGGGATAGAGTTGAGTCGGTTTCTGGAGCCTCTTCCTGGTTCTTGCTGACTTTGAGCACCATTTCCCAAAGCTGCCATCTGAGGGGAAAGGAAAACCTCTGTCCAGGACCAGTGACGTGTGGTGGACTGGAGCGCAGGGCCTTGCCCCTTCACACCACTGGCACGCGTCTTCTCCGAAGGAAGTATGGATTTGACTCAGTTCTCCCAGTGACAAAGGCTAGCGTAAGCCCGTCATCCTGAAGGTGTATGTCAGCTCTTCCTCCCAGGCAGTCCAGAGGGAAGTCTTCAAGCAGAGAAGTCTAGCGACAGAGTGGTCACAGAGGTGCACACCCTGCCCCATGGGCTACCTGCTAGGGCCCCACAGAGGATGGTCAGAATTTAAGGCACCCCCAAGGCGGTTTACATCATGTGACACCGAGGAGGTGTTTAGTCGGTGTGATTACCTGCGTGTGGAGTCAGAATGTGATAGGACTGGACTGGAGAGACTTTGTGGCGGAAATGAAGCTTAGTAGAAGCAGTAAGCAGTAGTGTGTCTGTGAATAAGCCCACTAGTTGTCTCAGATTTCCATGAATTAGCATAGTGAGTGCAGATCAGCTGACCACAGTAAGGTTACGTGATTGAAAAAGCCTGGTCGTGGTGCGTGCTTAGGGCCGTGATGCCACTGCATGTGCCACCTGGGCCCACTCCAGGCACTTGGGTCTCTGGGCAGGGTGAGAACAGGTTCTCGACCTCTGACCTCTTTGGCTAAAATGTGTTTTCCTTTTCTTAACTTTTCCTCAGTCCTTCGTGGCATTTCTGAAGGATCCGAAGGGGCCCCCACTATGGGAGGAAGATCCCGGAGCCAAAGATGTTGTCCACATTGACAGTGAAAAGGTAATTTACCTCTCATCATATCAGAGTCAGGAGAAGGCACGCCCGAGGAATGGAGGAATGGAGTGTCCAGCACTGATTGTGCTTCCTCTCCGGGAAACTGGGTCTGGGTCCTGGTGCTCGATCTGCATCCCCGCTCTGTGACAGACCCGACGGGAGATCGCAGGCTGGCTCCTGAGAGCGGTCTCCATTCTTTACCATCTTATGTGATGCATTTTACCATGCTTAGATTTCTTTACAAGAATAGTAATCTAAAACTCTTCTCCTTGGCATGTGATCTGCTTTTTGCTGGGACTTGGCTTTGTGGTTTATTTTTCTTAAGTGAATTTTGCTTTTTCTTTGTAAAAATAACCTCAGAGATTTGAGTTGGATTTCCAGAGACTGGGGTCAGGTTTCCACAATTCTGTATCACTGTGTAAGTTTGAACAAATTATTTACTTTCTTCAGCTTCAGTTTCCAGATTTTGATAGGGTGAGGTTTGGGGGTACACGGTAGCTCTGATGTGTGGCCTCTGTACACGCCCACCCCCCCCGCAGTGGCCAGCCCGTCTGACCTGCTTGTGTGCCTGTATTTGTGTCGTGCACACCCCTATGCCTTCTTTGCTTGACTGTGCCTTCAGAGGGCTAGGCCAGACTTCTTTGTCACATTTCAAGTGTTCAGTGAGGAAAGCAGTGCTTTCTGTAGATGGGGGGAGAACAGTCATTCTTACCTTGACAGCATTAAAGCATAGCTTTATCGTCTTCTGCCGCCTCACTCTTTTCATTTAAAATCGCTGTCTTTTAAAGAAAATGAGCCATTTATACTTTCTGAAGGAGGGATCATATGGTCTTCATGGATCAGCCAACTGGGTGTTTGGGGATTCTACTTAAGGGACTGTGCACCTGCGTGTCTTTGGCTTGGGTAGGTGAACACAGACGACTTAAACTGATCCTGTCTCCTGGAGAGAGGATGTGATAGCAAGTGTTTTCAGCCTCTCTGGAAAGGGATTGCCACCTTCCTTGCCCAAATGTTCATCTCCTGAAATTCCTAAGCTTGTTTTCATGCAACTGTAGAAATATCAGGCAGAATTTTCCCCATACCTATAGGCATTCCTCTTGTTCTACACTGTGCTGTTTTCTCTCGTGTGAATGTTTCAGGTACAGCTGCTTTCCTACCGATAGGGTCATCACATGAAATAACTCACACTCCAAATTCAAGTTTAAATTGCCAATTCATACTTGTAAGCTTAGAATTCCACACTTAGTGAAAGTAGCTCAAAATCTTTGAATGTAATATAATATTTGTTAGCACTCTGAATATGAGACCAAATTACTATAAACTCTGAAAAACCTTTTCTCCCTAGACTTATTACCAAACTTCATCTCCAGGGGTTCCAGAAGTCATTTTCAAAGTGTTTTCATCTTTCACTCTTCAGTAAAGGCCAGAGATCAAGAACTTGGTTACTAATCTGCGTTAGAATGAGAGGCTTAGCCCTCTAATTGTATAAATAAGAGAAAATGTTTTCAGAATTTAGTATAAAATGTTTTCAATTTCCACAAAATATTGGTATTTTAAAAAATCTAACTGGAAAATTTTAATACCTAGTCATCATTGAAAATTTAGAAAATACAGCTTAAACATAAAAGGGAGAAATACCACTCTGGTCCTTCCTGCCGAGAGATGCCCACTCTGGAGTTTTCCCTCATTGTCCAGGCTTTCAGTGTAATACAATCATAAATATTTTTTTTTAAAGATTTATTTATTTGTGCATACAGAACTGGGGTACAGGCCAGAGGCTCTGGGGCGGCGAGAGGATTCACCAGAGACAGAGTGGGGGACAGAACAGGCAGACTGATGAAGTACACTGCTGAGGGGAGCAGCGGGCGGGTCAGGAGAGGTCTGCCGCGCCATGTGGTCACCTCCGGGCCGGCGGGAATCGAACTCATGCGGAAGTGGCTTTAGCTTCTTAGTGCTGTGCTTTAACCCGCTGCGCCACCAGGGAGGGCCCAATCATAAATATTTTTACTCACAAAAGTGTTATTACATTTTATTTACTGTTTTGTAACTTGCTCCCCCCAGATACTTAATGTAATGTGCACATCTTATTGTGACACTAAATATTCCTCTCCCTTGCTCTTAATGATGCCATTGTATTCCATTGTGTGGGATTAATGTACTATCATGTATTTGTCTAATGCTTTTTTGCTGCCAGAAAGGATGCAGTTTGAAATTTCCTCTTATTTTTCTTTATTCAAAAGAAAAAAACCTCTGTGGTTTTTCCTTCCGTGGAAACTGATTAGAGGAACTTATTTTGATCAAAATAGGCTCTATCATGGTTCGTCCCCGCAGTCCATGATCGATTTGCTTTTTCCAAACATCCTTGGCCACTCTTTGGGAGATAAATCTCCTTCCCTTTTTACACTGGAGTGTCTACCTTAGTGCTGTTGTGACCGTTTGCCCTTTTACATATATAGAACTTGTTTAACAAATAACTACATATTGCCTAAGAAGGTGCCGGGCACTAAATGATCCAGTTAGCTTGTAACCTTCTGGGTGGGATGGGTCTGCACACACTTTATCCTCACGCTCCTGTAAGCACAACAGACGCCTTGGGGACGCACTGATGGTGGTGAGTGGGGGTGGGAAAGGGGTTAGCCAGCCAGGGTTATCCCCCGGTTAGTTACCAGCAGATCCTCATCTGGCCAAGTCAGGGCTACATGAAAACAGTGACCCTCGCCACAATAAGGCCTTCCATAGAGCAAGGCGAATGAGTGGCCTGGTGAATAGCCTCACGGGACATACACGGCGGCATGTGGCCCTCAAGTTGTTCAGGTGGAGCTGGAAGTAGAGCCGGTTGCTTGGTCCAGGCAAGGCCATCCCTCCAGGTGGCCTCTGCCAAACCATTTGGCCCCTTGAGGACTCAGTTTCCTCATCCGTAATGTTTCAGGGTGGCCTGGAGCAGGTAATATCTGGACAGTCTTTCCCAGAAGATTCTTCCAGCTCCTAACATGCCCTGGCTGTGCACTGCATCCCCCAATCCTCAAGTCAGTGCCTGCCCTGCTCCTCCCAGCATGGCGGGTTTCTTGAAGGGGTGCTCCGTCCCTCTGTTATTGTGTGTGACCTGTGGTGTTATCTGTTTGTGCCTCAGGACTTCAGACGCCTCCTGAAGAAGGAAGAGAAGCCGCTGCTGATGATGTTCTACGCACCCTGTGAGTGACCTATTCTTCCAAGCCAGAGTTAGCAGTGGGGCGAGGGGAAGAGAGGTGGCTCAGGCCTCTCACTCAGAGCGGCGATGTCATCACTCGCCCCATCTCTCTGTCTAGATACTTTCTTGTTGCCTCCTTCTCTTCATCTGGCACCTGCCTCCTGCTAGCCATACCTTTGTTTTCTCTCACAAGAATCAGCATCCTTCTGCCTTCTTCACCCTGAGCTCCACCTAGCCACAACTCGGGTCTCCTCTCCAGGTTCTCGCCTTCCCCTGCCCCTCTCCTCCTGTGAGCCCAGAGCCCCGTTGCTATCTGCTGTGAGCCCTGAAGGAGCCCTGCCTTGATCTGGGACGTGCTCTCTGAGGTCCTGCTGCTGCTTTGCAGCCCCTTGGCCACACTGCTGCCCACCGTCCACAGCCTCATCTGCCTCTGGGCAATAGCTTGTGCATCTCTGATTCTGTTGGTGCCACCAGAGTAGGGGCTGGGGGATCCAAGCAGGGGGACAGAGAGCCCAATATTTGTTTTCAGCTTTATGTATTTGGTAAGGGCCATGGGAACAGCAGAGGGACCACGGAGGTGAACCGAAGACCTGGGTTCTGATTCCAGCCATGCTACCAGCAAGCTGAGCAACCTCAGCTGAGCCCTTCCCCTTTCTGGGCCTCAGTTTCTATACCGTTGAGAGAAGGGTTTGGCTCAGAGAAGTGGTTTTAACACTTTTGGATTGCATTTCACGGCATTAAAAATATTTATGTTGCAACCCAGAACTATATAGTTACTTAAATTATATATAAATAACCTGAAACAGAAGTTTCACAAAACCATGGTAACCTTTACTGCTTGCCATCCACTCTACCAGACATAGCACACATCATATTTTCTTTTCAGTTCTGTTTTATTATGAAGTTACTGGTTATTCCTACTACTGCATAACCCTCCAATGAAGGACCAGCAAATTATGGCCCATGGGCTGCTGCCATTTTGGTTAATAAGTTTTTGTTGGAACACAGCCAATTTGTTTACACTTTGTGGCTGTTCTCATGCTTGAAACAGCAAAGTTGAGTCGTTGAGGGTATATCCCAAAGGCCTCCAGATTTATCGTGTCTGGGCCACCCTGCAATATTTGGGCCTGCAGATTGAAAAGCTCTGAGTTAAGCCTGTGCCCGGTGCTTGGGCTGTGATTCTGCAAGTGCCCTTCAGACAGCCAGAGGTCGAAAAGCTGGAGAGAGGAACTATGTGGTGGGAGGTGGCTGTGCCCAGGCCTGGCAGTGGCTGCCAGGGGTGTGACTGGACTTTTCTTTCCTCTCGAAAGCCCTCAGTTCCCATTCCTGAGGAGGTCTTTGAGCAAAGAAAGGCCCTCCCATCTCTACCATTGTTTGGTGCCCCCCTTTTTGTTTTCCCTCCGATGGATCTTGTTAACTGCCCAGCCATGGGGGGCGGGGAGGGCTTTAGGACTCTCCCGCCTCTGCTGCCCCTTGAGGAGAAGACCTCCTTTGTTTATCTCAGAGCCCTTCTGGACTCAACACACTGCTTAGTGAGACCCAAGCAGTGTGTGTGAGAGTTTACGGTACATGTCACCAGGCAGGAACAAGGTCTAATCAGGCTGGTCCTAGTAGACTGACACTAGTTCATCACTTACAGAGGTCGGCTCACTAGCAGTTGGCACTGAGTGTGTGCCATCCCCCTCCCACAACTCGGGCTGTCTGGCAGCGCGCCCATCCTACTACTCATCACAGCAGGAAAGAGGCAAGCTAGCTATTATCTTTATATAATAGAAAGCTTTGTAGAGAGTTAGGTTCCTTGTAGGTGTCACAGAGCAATTAGTACCAGGGGAGGGAGAGAGAAAGCTCAAGAGCATAAAGTTCAAACCTGCCATGATGGAGGGTAGGGAGTTTGGATCAGATGGGCTTCCTAGGTGTCAGGAAATTTTAGGATTCCTGGTTGCTTTTGAAGCAATTGTGTGTCTGGACTGTTACCATACTAGTTCAGTCCAGCTCTCATCACCTCATCTCTAGGCTTATTCCTGGGAAACACCCCAACATCTTCACTGGAGTAAGTCTTTTAGGACTCTGACTACATTGGGGTCAATGATAAAGCAGTGGGAGTCTTTAATTAGGTCAAGGACTGTGGTTCCCCAGGACGTATTGTTTATTCAGTAGATATTCTCAATGGGAGAATGGAAGGGCTGAGTTCCATAACTTTTGAAATTCGAGGGTGATAATCAGTCTTACCTCTTCTGTCTCTCAGTTAAATCTGCTGAAAGATAAACTCAGATAGGGATTGTAGTACCAGCTATTTTTGATAAGGTTAAATTGGAAGCTGATTTGGTCTATAGCTTCCTTTCACTCTTCCATCTCCTCCTGTTCCTCTCAGGAACTTCTCTCCCCAGAACCACTGGCTTCAGCTCACAGGGACAGTTGGCCTCTTACAACTGTTTGGTGAGTGTGGGGGTTAATGTCACTCAGGCTGCAGACAGGCAGCAGCCACACATGTGGGGACAGGCCATCAGTTAAGGTCCTGACTGATGAATGCGACCCAGTAGGAGTCAAACTCCCCCCATCTTGTCATAAAGAGTGGGTGAGGGGTTGTAAGGGTCTCCCCTTATATTCCTTCCTGAAGAGGAGACAGGTTTTTCTACCATGGACAAGGAGGCAAACTCTTAGGGCTCTGGTCCACTGAGCGTCCCCTGTCGGGTCCCAGTCCTGCCGCCTCAGGGCTCTGCTCTGTCTGCGGGGCTGGGGCTGTCTCCACTCAGCTGCAGGGAAGCTGAGACTCGGGCTGTCTACACCTAGGGTCACACTAGAGCCTGGTCACAGTCTCCCCAGAGCTGAGCTGCTTCCTCTGTGGCCTCCCGTCCACCGGCGTCCACCTGGTGGAGCCTGGGCATCTGGAGGAGATGGCATGTCCTTCCTGTTTCTATTCTATTTGTGAATCCCCACAGTGCGGACAGTGTTCTCTGGCAAGTGTCATATCCCCTCTCACGGTGGTTGTGGGGCTGCGGCTACTGGAGGTTTGTGAGTCTTGTGCTCTGAGGGCAGGTGCCATGACTCGGGCTCTGAGTCACCTCACAGCAGGTGCTGCATGCCTGTGTCTCCTGGACTCTGACCCTGAACCTAAGTCCAGGCTTAGTAGGCTGGTGTGTGGCTATCTGTGTGCCTGACAGGAATGTGGGGGAGGAAGCCCTGGACTTGGATATGTCAAAATATCCAGTGTTGCATCTTGGCTGGTAGAAGTGGTGCCAGAGAGGGAGATTCTGGTGGCCCCAGGGAGTCCGATCTGCTTACAGTTCTCGAATGTCTGTATCTGGGCCGATGGGCGCACCTCTCTGATGTATATGACTCTGTCATGGTCTGACTAGGCGTGAACCTAACATGGATTAGAGCTTGTCAACCTGCCACTGTGTGGCCGTGTCCCTGCTGTGTCCTGTTGAGATGAGATGGAGCCTAATGCCAGATTCCAGGCAGCTTTAGTTTCTGCAGCCCTCAAACGCGTTTCAAGCCTGGATTGCAGCGGAGCCACGGTCAGAAAGATAACAGCTGGCTTGTCAAAATTCCTGTCTGCGAGAAACTGGAGCTTATGTCCTGTGGTGTCAGTGCCCAGAGGTAGCCTGTTTTGGTTGTAGAGAAGGAACAGGTTTACATGAAGTTCAGGTCATGTCAGAGTGTTAGGAGGCTGTCTCGGCTCCGAATCCCCCAGGGCTTCTGAGAGTTTCACCACCTCAGGAGAAGAGGATATCTGTGGTGGGGCACAGAACCCCTGAGTCAAAGATACCACAGAGCTGGGGGTTTCTCATCCACCCTCCCCCCACCCGCCCCTGCACACACATGTTTGCCATATGGAGCCACAGCCCAGAGAAAGGAGGTGACTGCCCCACAGATTGGCAGGAGATGAGACCTGGGTTCCCGTCTGCTCGGAGTACTTTCCCCACAGGCCAGAGCCAGCACCCACCATGTGCGGCTGGCCTCCAGTCACTGCGTTGATTATCCTTGTTAATGAACGAAAAGAAGCATGAGATTCCCAGAAGTTACTGTATTTGTGGTTGTACATTTTCTTCCTGATGGCATTTGACTGGGGTTCCTTGGCAGCTCCTGACAAGGCAGTGAGGCTTCTAGTTGTGCACGAAGCGGGTGATTTCCGTATCTTTTCTGGGTCTCCGCATTCCTGTTGAACTCATTATCAGCTGTAGTTATTCAGCGCTCTGTCCTTCTCCAGCTGTGTCACATTTGTTAGTACGACACTGTGCTGAGTGACTGCTACGCCTCTCAGTTCACGCTGTAACTCTCTGGGGCCAGGGCCTCTGCCTCTGGCCCTGAACTGCTGGAGGTTGGACAAATGCTTGGCGGGTAGAGGTAGAGGTGAGTGCAGGGCCAAACACCCATGATGACTGACTTTGTTTTTTTGCTCCTGCCTGTGTCTAGGGTGCAGCATGTGCAAGAGGATGATGCCACATTTCCAGAAGGCTGCGACCCAAACGCGAGGCCACTCTGTAAGTGAGGCTCTGGCTTCTCACCAGGGGACTCAGTGGAGGGAGGGCGGGGTGGGTGGGGAAGACTCTAAGAGGGTTGGGCACCTTTTGGAGGCCAGTGAGCAAATCAGGAAACCAGCAGGGAGCGCATGTATTGCTGGGAGGTCAGGGGCCCACAGCAGCCCATCAGGCTCCAGAATTCTGGGGCTGGGGCTGGACTCCAAAGCAGGCTGAGGTCCTGGGTGGTGGGCCTGAAGTATAGCTGGCCCTTGGCAGCCGCCATGTCCTGCTGCTCAGGCTTTCAGGATTCTGTGTGGTGGGAAGAACAGTGGAAACCAGTAGAGACTCAGCCAGTAGTGTGAGCCCACGACCTTTTCTGAGGGGGAGTGTTCTGAGGAATGGGGGGGTGGGGGTGGGGATGGGATGCAGACAGGAGATGAGTGTATCTTGGGGATGCGCACTGCAGAGGGCAGGCAGGGAGGAGGAGGAGGAACTGAGGAAAGACCTTCAGAGTAATAGGGGCAACCAGGACTATCAGCAAGAAAGGGGAGACACCAGGGGGTCAGAGCTCACCCGAGAGGCCTGGTCGCCAGCTGTCCTGGTCACCTCTCTTTCCCCTTCCTACCCTGCCAGGCTTGTTTCTTCTGTGCTGTGTCTGTCCACTTTTGCACTTACCCTGAGTAACAGGTTTGGGATTGTTTTATTTTTGTGTTTTTGTTTATTTTGGTTTTGGTGGCACCAGAAAGGTAACTGTTAGCTCCTCTAGGGAACATGGAAAAATCCATACTCCCGTCAGGAAAGGTTGTAGGGAGGAGTCAAGTCAATGGGTCTGGCCAAAATCCCTGACTCCCCCAGGGCTTCCAGGGGCTTCCCCAGGCCAGGAGAAGAAGAACTGTGTCATGATCTTTATTGATCAAATTAAGTTGGTGATTAGTTCAAAGCCAACTTTAGAACTTTAAATGGCAGCAGCTGGGCACTGTGATGGCCCTGCTAGGGACTGTGCTCTGGGTTTGCAAAGAATCAGTACTTTTCCTTTCGATCTCATTTCAGGGGCAACTCCAAGGTCCTGCTTATTTCTTACAAATGAATTTTTAGTAACTCGCCTGGAGATGTTTGGCCTTGGGGCACACATACTTTACTCTGAGGAAGTTTCACTTTACATTTGGGTCCTCAGTAGCCATCATATTTTAAGATTATTTTGCCTGAAGAAAACACTTAATTACCCACAGTGTGCTCCCTGCCCGTCCCCGTGTACACTGCTGGCTCAACTTCCCAACTCTTGCGCTGTGCAGTTTACCCTGCATGCCCATGGGTAATGATTACCTTGACTGACCCCATCAAGGCAGACCTGGATTTGTTGCCTCACATGCACATTCTGGAAGATTCTTGGACAGTGCTGCATCTGTTTGCCAAACTCCAGGCTCTTCCTGCACTCCACGTCCCTGCCATTTGACCAGGCCTGCCCATCTTTGCGTTTATTCAAGATCACTCGGTTTATCAATTGACAGTAATTATGATTTGATTTGCAAGCTTCTCGAAGGGGTGTTTGACTCATGTCTGTCTCTTCAGTATAGCATGCAGTTTGCAGCACATAGGAGATACCCAGTGCTGGTGAATGAATGAATGGTATACCACTCCTGGTATATATTATTTTAAGGCCTTCAATTGCGTTAAAAGTGATGATCCCATTTTTTAAAGAATTGAGAGGAACAGTTATTATGGACAGAGGCATTGTCAGAAGGACATTTGTGGCCTTGGGCTCACACCGGGCTTTTCGGCAAAGTGAGTCCTGAAAATAACTTGTGTTAAGAATTAAGAATACCTGCTTCTGGGCCCTCCCTGGTGGCACAGGGGGTTAAAGCACAGCACTAAGAAGCTAACGCCACTTCCGCATGAGTTCGATCCCAGCCTCCCCTCAGCAGCGTACTTCAATGGTCTGCCTATTCTGCTCCCCACTCTGTCTCTGGTGAAGCCTCTCACCACCCCTGGACTTCTGGCCTGTACCCCAGTTCTGTATGCACAAATAAATAAATCTTTAAAAAATAAAAGAATACCCGCATCTAAAAAAAAGGAAGAAAAAAAAAGTATCTGCTTCTCTACCTGGACCCAGGTCAAGAAATATCAGAGGTGACCCTCCTTTCCCCAGACAGTCATAGAAAAGTCAGTGGGATTGTACCTGGAGAGCCTTGCTGGGCAATCCTAACTGTGGCCAGGTGTTAGTCACAGGTGACCAAAGGCATCGGTATTGTGTGAACTCATCCATTTCCTTGCCTCTGTGTTTTCTTGTTAGGGTGTGCATTGTTCTGTTTTCCCCTTTGTTTCGTAGGAAAGTATTTTTTGAAACGTTCTCACTCTTTCGTAGATACATAAAAGGCCATGGTCCTGATGACCACTGAAACTACCCACTGCCGGAGGCCTCTGGAGGCCAGGGCTCCCCAGAAAGAGGATGACCGGAGGAAGGGATACCTTTCAGTCCTCACATACAGGGCAGAAAGGGACTGCTAGTCCCCAGAAATCAAAGGTCATCCCCACCCCACTGCTGAAATCAACTGGATTAGCGTCTCTGTCTCATCTCGATCACTTTCTGGCTAGCATGTCTGTGGCAAGGGTCAGAAATCTTTATAGAGTTCTTGGGAGGCATTCAACCTAATGATGCCATTAAGACAGAAGCCAAGCCAGGTCAGCGATGCACAGCCTTTGCTATTTTCCAGACTCAGATCTGCCTCTGTTTCGCTGTCCTTATGTCCGGTTAATCACTGGTGTCTGTCCCATCTACTCCTGCTAATTGACATCCTCACTAGCCATCACTGCTGCTCTCAGAGAAGCCGTCAGAACCAGCCCTACCCCCATCTGCCTCCTCCCCTGGCCTTGCCAGTTATTAATGTCTGTACTGAGCCTTTGAGCTTTGCCCAGGCGTCTGTTAACCTTGGCCACTTGAGTGTAAACACTGGGTCATCACGGTGACAGATTTGTGCAGATCATCAGGCTCTGCTGCTGGCTTCACTAATTGGCTAGGATGTCTTGGGCAGGCTCCTTAGCCTCGGAGCCCCTGTTTTCCCATCTGTGCAATGGGAATGATAATGCCAATCACGTGACCACTGCACTGGGCTGTGGTGACGAGCAGCGGGTGATGTGTGTGGAAATAGCTTGTCACTGACAGAGCACTTGACAGATGCGAACCACTGGCCCTCCCCCACGGCTCTGCGCCTCCACTCACTGAGAGGAGGTCCTCCCAAGGGTCTGCTTCCCACCTTCCTCCTGTCTCCTGAACGCCTTGGCGTAAGTGCTCGGCACTGTGCTCTTTGTCCTGTCATGGTATGTCCCTCAGAAATTTTATCGACGTCCATAGTTTCAGCAAGTGCAGTTTCATGAAGCCTGAATCCTCCACTTAAGCTCCAGTACCATGTGTCAGACCGCTTGCTCGGCATCTTGATCTCGACTCCCCTTTCCCCTTGCCCCCACCACCCCTTGTCTAGAATGTAAGCCATCCCAGATAAAAGTCAGTGCTTTGCCTGGCTCTCAGGCCTTAATGTCTTCACCAAGGTGACCTCAGTGAACCCCTCATGTCCTCTCTTGCTGCCGCTGTCTGTGTGCCCTGAAGTCCAGTTAAACTAAAGGTTCCCCATTTCTTTGGCCATGTCTTGTCTTGCCTCCCTCTTACCCTCCCAGGAATGTCTGTGGAAATCTTAAACTCCTTTGAACTCTCGCTCTCACGCTTCCCCCTTCACGTATCTTCCAAGATCATCCTGGCAGGAAGACTGCGCACAAGGAGGAGCTGGTGGTGCAGGCGGAGCAGGCCCAGGGCCGGCTCGGCAGCAGGTGTTGTGGCCCTAACTACCCCGCAGAGGAGACCACTTTTGCCTCAGTCAGTCTCACAAACTAGAAAAAGTCTCTGTACATATATTTTTTTTTATAAATATTTATCTCATCAATGAGTAAATGATCCCAGAGTGATACAAAACTGTTGCAACAACTCAGAGAATTAAGAAAACTCACCATAAGCCAAGGTGGTTGGAAAGGCAGCCAGGGAAGGACGATTCTCTTTTCTCTAAAGGATGGATGCACCTTGGATGGTAGCCAGGTGAGGACCGGGCCTCCTGAGCCTGGCCCAGAGGCACCCAGGGGCCAGCAAAGCACAGCGTGTGTCTAGAGCAGTGAGCAGTACTACGGTCGCTGACCATTGATGAAAGCGGCTAATGTAGTTTGAGGGTTCTGTTTGTATTACCTCATCTAAACTTCATAGCAACCTCATGTTGTGGCTGCAGGGGAAACTGAGGCACAGAGGCATCTGCGACTTGTTCAAGGAGATGCAGCTCTTAGACAGGGAGTCGGTTTCTGACCCAGTGTCCTGATCCCTGTGCCCTGCTCCATACTTCTGTGGTGTAGGACCTGTCTGCAAGGTGCCTTCGGTAGCTAACAGGCCATTTTCCTCCCTTGCAGAAGTCCAAATTATCTTATTCCTGGAAGAATAAAAATCTAGACTCTAACAAGTATACAATTAAGGGTATTGTAAAAAAAAAAAAAAGTGAAATGTGAGCTAGGGACTATATAGTCTTTGAGTCCATATTTGATAGAATTGAGAGGTTTTGTTCAGGGAGGTGATGTCATGAAGGAAGAAGATGTGGAAGATTAATCTTGAGGTGACAGCACTGACTCTAGGGAGATCAATTAGACATGAAAAAAAGAAAAGAACTTAAAAGCAAACAAATATTACTGGAACAGGCTGCAGAACTGGTCCAGGGAAATGAACAGAGTAGGTTTTAGAGCGCTTCTGGGCTTCTAGTACATTCTACTTCGGGCCTATTCTCTTCTGTATTCCCTGAAGCATCCCCAAAGGGGCTGGGGGAGGGGGAAATCAGTGTTTAGTAAGTGTGTATTGTTTACCTGCTCTGTGCCAGGCATTGTGGCTAGATTTATAAAACAGCTGGAAAGACATGTTTAGATGCCTTTAGGGATGGAGGGGTCATAAGCATTGCGAGGAGAATTGGGTAGAAAATAGAAAACCTGGCAGTTATTGAGCATCAGTTTTGCAAGATAACATGGTCCAGCTCTTTCAGTCCTCTTAAGAGCTCTGTGCTAGTCTCATTATCCACGCCTACAAGCAAGGACCTCTCAGAATGCATGATGTGCTCAAGGCCACCTCAATGGGAGCTGTCTTCCAATCAGGCAGGCTCATTGCTTAGACTGGAGGGGATGGTCACAAACAGGAGAGAGTTGGTGTGGCCTGGCAAGGTCTAGAGGAAGGAGAGTCAGGTCGGTGGTGCGTAGTCGTCTCGAGACTCCACATTTTCCTTGGCCACATACGAGCTGTGAGATCTGAGAAGGTCATGCACGATGCTGGACAGACTGAGGCCATGAAGAAGCCAGCCTGGCAGGTGTGTGAGAATACTGAGGAGTGGCGAGTGGACATTCCATTGCTTAGGGCACGAGTGCAGCCAGGGTTGATGTGGGCAGAGCAATGGCATGGTTGGGTGGCACTGGTCTCATTCTTGGTGTGGCTTGAACCTGGTAGCAAGGCCAGGTTTCTCTTCAGCCCTGACAACTTTGCTTTCGCCTGGGGTTGCTCTTCATGCAGGGCAGGTAGCTGGGAACACTTGTGGAGGGCAGCACTGGGCTCAGACGCCTGCCTCTTGGGGTTCTGGGTCGTCGGCCCCAGTGACTCCGCCGCGCAGGATTGCACGGGCGGCATCTAGACAAGGTGTAGGTGCACAGGCCTGGTCTCCCCTCCCAGGTGCTCGCCGGGATGAACATCTACCCCTCAGAGTTTGAAAACATCAAGGAAGAGTACAACGTGCGTGGCTACCCCACCATCTGCTATTTTGAGTAAGTCCCCTGCTTCCCCTCTGCCTCCCTGTTGGCGTTTGTGTCCCCGACTGAGCCCACGTTGTCTCTCCGCATTCCGCAGGAAAGGACGGTTTCTGTTCCAGTATGAGAACTATGGGTCCACAGCCGAGGACATCGTGGAGTGGCTGAAGAAGTAAGTGGGACCTTTGCCTTGGGGGCATGGCCCGGGGTGGGGGCGCTGCTGGGCCCTGGGACGGTCCCAGGGTCGCAGGGCTCTGGCTGGGGACTGGGGGCTTGCAGCACAGCTCATTCTGCGTGGAGCTTAGGCTGCAGGGGTGAGGAGCACCTGGTGAGCAGACCCTGCCTGGCATGTGGGGAAGAGGGCCTGTCTCCCCTCCCCCAGGCCAGAGTGGAGAAAGGCCACCTCTGCCCATGGGTTCTCAGAAACGGTCGGGGGCTTTCTGAAATCTTCCTGCGTTTCAGATAGTCTTCCCCTCATTGTCTGTCTGATGGGCAGAGATATTTCTTACCCAGGACGTCAGGCTTGAGAGCAGTTCCACTGCAGGTCTCCGAAAATAGAATTGTCAATTGAATACTTATTTTAAACACGATACTGTATTAGGTGCTGTGAAACTACTAAGAAATTCCAGTGCCTTAGTTTGCCCGGCGCTTTGCCGCTCACCCTTCACAGAAGCTGCTTCACAGCGCCTTTGATGCTTTGTACCGTGTGAGGGCCTCATTACCCAAGCCACGCCCCACCGCCTCGACCCCCTCACCTGGGCCCCCCCACCCCTGCCCAGGCCAGGAGGGGACTTTGGGTGGGGGGGTTGAGCAGACCTGGCTGGAATGCTGGATGGGGCCACTGTGTCCCCCAGCCCCGGCCGCCCCTGCCGAGCGCTCACTTGCTGGACTTGTGCTTTGCTTGTCGTGAGTTTGCCACTTACCAGTCACTGTCGAGTGTGGTTATTTGTGATTGTTCTTGGAGTAATAATAGCTACCGTATTTTGGGCTCTGTTTTGCGACTGACACCCTTCTGAGCACTTTGGCAGATTCTCTTGTGACCCTCAGCACAGCCCTGAGGGAAGGTAACGTGATTACCCTTCTCTAACAAGTGAGGTGGCGAAGCACAGTGGTGAAATGGCTCGTCCAGGCTCCTACAGTTGCCCTGAGGCAGCGCCAAAGGCGATCCTGGGCGGTGGCTCCCCACGATCCAGTTCTGCTCCCCCAAGTTCTTGTCAGAGCCCCTTCCTCTCCCGCCAATTTCCAGTGCAGTGGATGTGTAGCAACACCATTATCTGAGGAGCGGGAGTTGCAGAACTAGTCAGCTAAGGAGGTGGACGTTGAAAATGTGTGTTTTCAGAATGAGGAAGGAGATGGATTTTGTACCAAAAAACAGAAAAGGTTTGCCCTCTCAGTTTGGTCTGTCGGTTCCGGGTTCCAGGGGAGTCGGTGGCAGTGGGGGGGGGGGGGTGATGGCGAACCTGATGACAGCACCTGTGTGCGGAGCGTCTCATTTCTGGGGAGCATTTCCCATCTCAGGAGCCCTGCTTGGGAAGGCAGCGCCCATTATCATGCATTCATTGTCGTAGCCTGGACCTTCGAGCTCCTGTTTCCGTTTTCACTTGATAACAGCACGTCTTCTGCAGCCAGACGCGCCTCGCCCGCGTTGGGGGAGCTTCCACAGACAGCCGCCTCATCTGTCACCGAGCATAAAATCTGTCTGCTTCACTCCCCTTCTCCAACCTTTTCTCTTTCAAAACACCCTCGTATCTT